CCCTGCATGGCGGTGCACACCTGTGATCCCTGCATGGCGGTGCACACTTGCCCTTAGGAGATAGAGGCAGGAGGACCAGACATTCAAGGTCATCTTTGACTGCACAGCAGGTTCCAGCTCCAGTGTGGTCTGCGTGAGACCCTGTGTCGGAGGGAGACACTTCAAGGGTCTAAACTGCCCACTGGCGATCTGAAGTCTCGACCACTCATTCAGGGCTCATGGCAGCTAATGTGTAGGCACAGGAAATGGGTGGGCTGTCGTTTTCTTCTATGGTAAGGAACCTGTCAGATCAGGAGAACATTCATAGCACTCCTCCCGGGGAGCCACGGGACATTTCAACACCGTCTGTAAACTACTCTGACTGTGGGCTGACGATGTGTGTACACAGCCCTGCCTATGTCCCCCAGTGGAAATGGAAAGAAAACGGCCCGTCCTGGCTAGCAGATTCTAACACTGACGGCTTAGGGTGTGACTCAGAAAACATACTTTCCCTTAACTCTATGGCGTGTTTCCACAGGACTAAGGGTGGCAGTCTGCAAGTAGTTTGAACATTTCCAAAGTCACTTCCCGCTGCAGACGCTGGGGTACATTGTCGGTTGCCACAGGCCTAGGACAGAGGACTGGCCCGTGCTCCGCCCATGGTCTGATGCAGGAGCCATTTGAGCTCAGGCCCTTGTTCTTCTAGAAGCAGGTGGGCTTGGCCCATCTGCACATAAGATCTAGTCATCTGGGTACAAACTGTAAAGTTGAGGTGCACAGCTGGGAGCAAAGGGAACTGGGCCAGGATACATGGTCTACATCTCATTGCTGTGAAGCAAAATCCATCCCCAGAGATTATGAGCTGCTCTCAAGGAGTGAGATTTTTGAACCCCTGGGGTCCTGGGTTGGCAGTGATGAAGATGCCACGTGTAGCCCCAGCCTGGCCAGCATGGTTTGTTTGCCCATAACAGCTACGATGGCATGGTCTTCACGCTGTATGAATTATTGTTGAATTCACTTCTATAGCACTCAATGAGTCAGAATTTTATAGTTAAAGGTGTTTAAATATGGACACAGTCTTGTCAAAACTAGAATATTGTTATAGCTGCTGTTTATTGGACATTGTAGTATGTGTGGGGTCTTAGGATTAGGATCCTATATGAATTGTTTCATTTAAAATTCATGCCAATCTTAATGGGAATTATCGTTTCCTTTAAAAAAGAAAAAGAAATGAGGCCAAAGGAGGCTGAATAATTATTGACAGAATACCACCCTGGAGTGAAAGAGCCAGGCTGCAGGAGTTCACCTCCAGAGCTCACAGACCTACCTCAAGCGTGGGCAGCCTTCCAGGGCTCTGGGGCTGCACTGAAGGAAGGGTGGCCTCCCGGGCCGACTCCACTGGCTGTGGTCCAGACTGCAGTGTCCATCGAGTTTCTGTCCTCCACCTAAGTCGGAGCAAGGAGACCGTTCCCAGTTGGCCCCCAGTGGAGCGCGCGGACTGCTGCGCGCATACAGACGTAGACCGTGTGTGTCTTCTGTATCCACAGTTACGGCTGGATGAGGCGCAAGAGGCGGAGTGCCAGGCCTTGAGACTACAGCTCCAGCAGGAGATGGAGCTGCTCAATGCCTACCAGAGCAAAATCAAGATGCAGACGGAGGCCCAGCACGAGCGTGAGCTGCAGAAGCTAGAGCAGAGGGTGTCTCTGCGCAGAGCGCATCTGGAGCAGAAGGTAGGAAGTTTCTGGGGAGCTACGGGTGGGGCTGCGGTGGGGAAGGGTCACAGTTTTGTGGGGAGCCCTTGCTAGTGACCCGGAATCAGACTGTCCATTTACTTCTGATACTCAAGAAAGGCAGATATTATCTCCAGGCCTGGGACATGATGGTTCAGGAAGGTTATTCAACCATCTGAGGTTCTGCTTAGGAAGCCCACCATCTTAACCAGCTGGGTGACATCACTTACTTAAGAACTATGGGATGCTAACACGGCTGCCCGGGGCCTAAAAAAAAAAAAAATCAAATAAGATTGGAATTTTTTTCAGCAAAAGGAATTACCCACAGGACTTTTTAAGAAATAAATGAGGTGCTGGAGAAATGGCTCAGAAGTTAAGAGCACTTGTTGCTCTTCCAGAGGACCAGGGTTCAGGTCCCAGAACCCACATGGCAGCGCACAACCTCTGTAACTCCAGCTTCAGGGTATTTGACGCCCTCTTCTGGTCTCCACAGACTCTGCACTCATATGCACATACCTAACACAAGCCGGGCGGTGGTGGCGCACGCCTTTAATCCAGCACTCGGGAGGCAGAGGCAGGCGGATCTCTGTGAGTTTGAAGCCAACCTGGTCTACAAGAGCTAGTTCCAGGACAGGATCCAAAACTACAGAGAAACCCTGTATCAAAAAAACAAACAGCAACAAAAAATACTTAAACACAGACACACATAGGCATAAATATTTAAATAAAATATTTTGAAAAAAGAGTGAAAACAAAGATAGCTATTGCTGCATACAGCAAGTGTTCTCCCCGGTGAATCACGGCGTGCTGTAGACAGTGCTGCATACAGCAAGTGTTCTCCCCGGTGAATCACTGCGTGCTGTAGGCAGTGCTGCATGCAGCAAGTGTTTTCCCCCGTGAATCACGGCGTAGACAATGCTGCATACAGCAAGTGTTTCCCCCGTGAATCACGGTGTGCTGTAGACAGTGCTGCATACAGTAAATGTTCTCCCCCTTGAATCACGGCGTGCTGTAGGCAGTGTTGTGGGGAGCATCACGTGGAGACTGTGTCATGAAGCATCACAAACCTAGGGCTGAGAGGAGTGACCCCAGACATTGTCTTCTGGCTTCCACGTGAACATGTACACGAATGCACATGTGTACAACATACACGCAAAGCATCTCGGGGCCTGAGGAGATGACTCAGCAGGAAAGAGCTTGCTGTGAGCGCATAGGGACACAGCATCTCGAGCTGGTGACCTCTCTCTGCTCAACCTGTTACCCCCGCTTTCTCTGTCCTTCCAGCAACACTGTAACCTGCTCTCCCAGCCACTGTTCCACAATCAAATTCCCCGTCCTGCCACTGCAAAGTCACAGGGAGGCCGCTGACCTAGATCAGCCCAGGCTCACCTCTACCCCAGCCCCACCCACCCACCCACACCCACCCATCCACACCACGTACCACACTATCCCAACTCCCAGCCCTAGCAAGTTTGAGACATAGTGGGACAAATCCAAGACACTTTACTACTGGGCTCCTGGTTCTCAGGTCTAGGCTGTTCCCCTCTCCCTTGTATGTGTGTGTGTGTGTGTGTGTGTGTGTGTGTGCTTGCACACCTGGTGGGGGTCCCTCGTGGCTGTGGGGCGAGCGTTGGCACTGAGGCCCTCTTCTGTGCTGGTGCAGATTGAAGAGGAGCTGGCCGCCCTGCAGAAGGAACGCAGTGAGAGGATCAAGATTCTCCTGGAAAGACAAGAGCGAGAGACGGAGACCTTTGACATGGAGAGCCTCAGAATGGGGTTTGGGAATTTGGTGACATTAGATTTTCCTAAGGAGGACTATAGATGAGATTAAATTTTTTTGCCATTTACAAAAAAAAAAAATGAAAAAAAGAAAACAAAAAAATTCAGACCTTACAAAACTACATTCCCCATTTTAACGGGCGTTGCTCTCACTTCACACTCTCTCTCTCTTTCTCTCTCTCTCTCCCTCTCTCTCTCTTTCTCTCTCTCTTCCTGACATCGTGTCGGACTAGTGCCTGTTTTCTTACTCCATCAGGGGCCCTTTCCTCCCCCATATCAACTGTCAGTGCTGGCCTGCCCGGCCGCCCCTACTGTCCACCGTCCACGCCCAGTACCGGTGTGGCCCACAGAGGTTCTGGTGAAAACCTTGCAAGTGGCATTAGGGTCAGTCAGTCAATCAACAAACGGCGATGGAACACAGATGTATGTTGCTTTAAGCAATCCCTCATTGTCACCAACCAGTGAAAGTAAAGCAAAAAAAGAAAAACTAAAGAAAGAAAACTAAATAAATAAATACATGCCAAGGGGGAGAGAGACACAAAATCCGCAGCCTTACACCTTAACCAGCTGCTGCATAATTTTATTTTATTTTATTTTTTTGGTATTTATTCATCAGGAATTAAAAAAAACAAAGTTTTATTAAAGATTGAAAATTTGATACATTTTACAGGAACTAATTGTGATGTACATATGAAGCGGTAACATATTATTACTATTTTGGGGCCGGGGTGGGTGGGCGGGGTGAAGAGAGCTTGTGATTTTTAAGAACCTGCCGGCGAGCGTTTGCCTTGCCGTCAGCCTGGTCTACTGTATCCCGGCATCCTCTGCTGTTGCGGACGGTGCGAATACACGTACGGAACTCACAGAATCCCAGTAGCACAAAATTGGGCTTTGGCAAATCATGTATTTTGTGTATAGAGGGAATCTAAGGAGAGGAATTGCTTATTTTCATATTGTATTTTAACTGTTTCTCTGATCAAAATTTTTTTACTTCCTCCTCCTGTTCCTCCCCCCACCCACGCCCACCCCCCCACGGTTTCCAGTTCAGTCTCTGGAGTTCAATGTCTTTTCAGTCCAATCATCTCCGTTTATTTCTCCTTCCCCTCCCCGCGCCCCCTATCTTTGGTCATAAATATTGCATTATCCATCCTTTCAAACTGTGTATTTTCTTACAATAAAAAATGATGAAGAAAAAAAGGCTTTACTCCTTTTGCATGCACCTTAAAAAAAAAAAAAACACTTAAACATTTTTCAGGTTCCAAGGGAGAGCATGGTTAACTGTCAGGGCTTTTACTTATATTTGTAAATAAAAGTGTTCGTCACATTGCCTGGCTGTGTTCTTGTAGCAGGATTTCCATTCTAGGTGCCTCTGGGGATGACTCTGAGGGTTGAGTCCTCCTGGAACGGTGCTCCAGGGCTTCCTCCCAGAAGGATGCTGAGGGGAAGCCGAAATTTCAGTTTCTTCTGGACCGAGATGGAGGTGCACTGTTCGACATGCTCACTGGGTCCCTAGCCATAGGAGTACAAGCCACACGGGATCACAGGCAAGAGGACTGGACCCCACAAAGAAGAGCAAGCAGAGGAGGAGGCATGGGAGCACTCCCCCTGGACATTGTCCTACTGTAGGGCAGACTCCGTCCCTTCCTGTCTCCTTTCACTGGAGTAACTGTATAGTAAAGACAGAACATCCAGGATGTCTTCCCCCTATCGCCTTAGCCCTGCAAGCCTTGCATGTTGAAATGGGATTTTGCTTTCTTGTTATTATTGTCTCTGTTTTCTGTTGTTGTTTGTTTTTTGGTTTTCCCACTTTGGTGTTTTTCTGGAACTCATCATGTAGACTGGACTGGCCTCGAACTCACAGAGATCCTTCTGCCTCTGCCCCACCACCTCCCCAGAGTGCTGAGATTACAGGCATGTGTCGTCACACCCAGCCCTGTTTTGTATTTTCCTAATGAGCTGAAAGCTGGGCTGCTTAGCCAAGCTGAGGTCACATGCAGTTTTCAGTTCTGCAGGGCTGGGGACTAAGTTCAGCCTCCTGTGTGCTAGGTCAGCACTAGAGCACTGAGCCTGCCCCAGCTCCTGCCTCTGTCCCAGCTCCTGCCCCAGCTCCTGCCTCTGTCCCAGCTCCTGCCCCAGCCCCAGCCCCTGCCCCAGCCCCTGTCCCAGCTCCTGC